TATATATACATGTATTTATATATGTATACATATATATATATACAGGTGTGTCTATATATTTATATAGCCTCCACCATTTGGAACTTTATATATACATGTACATATATTTATATATTGTTTGTCTATATATTTATATAGCCTCCACCATTTGGAACTATATATATATACATATATATATATATACATGTATACATATATATATATACAGGTGTGTCTATATATTTATATAGCCTCCACCATTTGGAACTTTATATGTACATGTACATATATTTATATATTTTTGTCTATATATTTATATAGCCTCCACCATTTGGAACTATATATATATATATATACATATATATATATATACACCCCTCCATGTTTCTTTGGTCCTTGAAGGAGAGCGCTGGTCTTGGGCGTGCCGCCGGTGGTCGGCTTGAACCAAGTGGCGGCCTGCCTCAGCTCCTCCGTGGCAGCGCTGGCCTTCCTGAAGCCCTTCGCGCCCCAGTCCCAGCGCCTCGGAAAGCGCCCGGGCGACGGATCGACGGATCGACGGATTTGGGGAGCCGAACGCCTTTGAAGGCGCCGGGGCGACGGAGCGACGGAGCGACGGAGTTGGTTGGGGAGTCGAAAGCCTTTAAAGGAGAAAAAGAGAACGAGCGAGCCCTGGTTCAGGGCCGTTTCTGGGGGCTTTCATTGGATCGGGTGGTTGAACTTGTTTTTTTTAGGCGGTTTATGGTGGTTGAAATTGTTTTTGTTTTGTTTTTCTTTCCCCAGGTGTTTCTTCTTCTTCTTTTTTTTTGGGGGGGGGGGGGTTTGTGGGATGACTGGGTTCAGGTGGTCCGGCGGGCAAACCTTCCGGGCCCCAGTCCCAGAGCCTCGGGAAGGGCGGAGGAAAAACAAGTCGAAAGCGACGGATGGGGCGGCCGGCCGGATCGGCGGATCGGCGGATCGACGGCATGGGTGGTGAGAAGGGAAATCCCAAAAATGTTTTTTGTTTGTTTGTTTTTGTTTCTTGGTTTTTTCTCCACAAAGCTTCCTTTTCTTGTAGTTTTTGTTGTGTGAGTTTTTTTTGGTTTGCGGGATAGGCATGGGTTATATATGTGACGTCCAGTTGGTTTACAGGGTTCGTGTTTCTTTTTTGAGGGAGGCCTATTTTGGACCTCGAGCTTCTGCGGCTTCAGGTGGATTGCACGAGCCCCTGTCATATCCAAACCCCTCATATGGAGACCAGGGAGAGGAGGGTTGGGGAGAGCGTGCCTACTGTGGTTGTTTGCTATCCTTTTTCTTGCAATCCTGGGGACATTTTCTGGGGTGTTTTGGTTGTTCCTACTGCGGATGGTTGCGAAAGGGTCGTAAAGGGCATCCTTTAGGGGGAGCCTTACCTCCCAAGAACGGCGCCCAAGGCACACTCCCATGCGCAAGAGCCATGTCCCTTGGTTTTTGACTATGGTTGTCAAGGCCCCCAATCGGGGCCGATTCCCCGATTTCGAGGGCTGATAGCAACTAATAAGGCCTATTAGGGGCTAGTAGTGCTGCTTTGCTCTGTGATACGTTTATTTGCCGAACATGTTTTTCCCTATTAACATACCAACTCTGTGTGGGAAGGTACCTGGAAGATCAGTGTCCTCTTGAAGGAACTCCCTGTCAGGTGCCATGTTAGCGGAAGGGAGCGTATGCGTTGGTGTCCTCTCGGCTGAACGGGAACCTATCACTGGACATATTTTTCTGGGGCTGGAAGATGAGTTTTTTTTTTGTCCCTTTGGTTGGTTCAAAGGAAATATACAAAGGAAAACCCTATGAGACACGTTGACTTCTTGCTGGCGCTTTTCGGCCAGGATTCTGGTGCGATAGGTCCTTCCAGGGGGCTGGGAACGAACCGGTTTTGGGGATTCCTTAAACGCTATAGGGGTCATTCCATTTCTCATTCCCTGCTGAGCACCAGCAAGAATAAAAGTATATTGTTTTCTTTTGTTTCGGTCTTGCCTTTTGACAACCAGAACGTTGCAACGTTCGATGCGGAGATCCTGTGACATCTCTTTCTTTGCGTGGGTTGCCTTGCGGTCTGAGACCAACCTTTACCAGCACCATCGTGTGATGTCTTCATGTCCAATTGCATGAGGGAGGTGTTCTTCCGGCTTGCGCTTTTATTTGCAACATGAGACAGAGAAGCAGTCATTGGGAGGTTCTGGTGGACAACCAATTGACTTCCTCGGTTTGAATCTTAGTATCCCGTGGCAATTGCTGTTGACCGAAATGTTTGGGTGTTCCATAGCTTACGTGAGTTAGGCTGTCGTTGGGGCCTGGCACTTGCTTGCCCTTCGTAGGGAACGAAGCACCCCGGAGGGTTAAGAGGAAGCGCTGGCCGTCCCGATGCAAGTTGCAACCAAGCAATTGGATTTGGCCGTTCAGGGTGGAGTCAACAGTCTAAGAGCTCTGGTCTGTGGTCCCTCGTGTTTGCAAATGTGTTTGGAACAGTTGGTCTGTTCCAGAGTTCGGAAGTAGAAGGGAGATTCGCTAAGCTAAGCGTATAATTCATTCGGCGTGATGCGAGAGGTTTCTAGACTATGGCGCACAAACTGGTGGCCTTTTGGCGCTCAGAGAAACGTCCGAAAGGGAGTGCTTTGGCCATATCTTGGGCCACTCGCATGCAATCTCTATGACTGGCAACTGGAAACGCAAATCTTTCCGCATTGCTACAAATTGTCCCCAACTTGCGCGGCTTTCAAAAATGGGCGTCATCAAACACCCGGCACGGCCGCCATACTCCGCACCAATCTGTGGAGCATCAAATGGCCGTCACCAAACTGCACCCCCCCGCCCCCACCGAGTTGTTCTGAAAAGCCAAAAAGGGAAGCGGGGGGGGGGAGAGTCCTCCGACGCGCGTTTCTTTTCCATACAAACAAATCAGACAGAAACATCTGTGTGTGTCCCCGTGTGTCCATTGTTTGGGGGCTTCGAACCCCCCCCCCCGGCCCAAAAAAAAGAAAGAGATCAGGTTTCGAACCCCCCCCAAAAAAAGAGAACAAGCACAGCTCAGGATCATCGTGACCGGCGCCTGTGGCGCAGTGGGCTTGGCTGTGCTCCAGCTGGGCGCGCTTCTCGCTGTGATGCGGTACCACGTGTTTTTTGGGGGGCCAGCATTGTGCATTTGCTTAAGACTATTCCCCTGTTGATTTTAAAGGGAATCTATCACTACTGGGAATTTGTTTATTTTTTCCTGGGTCCTTAACCAAATGGAAGAAGCCTGCATGTGGCCAAGAGGTGCCCAGTTAGCAAGTGGTTAGCTACTTGGTTTTTGTTCACCCCCTTTAATAAATGGGTTATAGCCTAGGTGACCAACAACTTACGAACTTGGCGAATCAAACACCCAAGTACCCTTGTGGAATTGCTTTGAAAGGACACTGAAGAAAGACAGACCCATTTTTGTTTGTTTTGGAAGGGCGGGTTGGGCCATTTGGAGGCAAACTTTGGTTGTGGGATCCTTTTGGGCTTGGGGTTGAAAGGGAAACCCACTCACAAAACCAGACCAGTTTGCGGTTCCACCATTTGGAGACAAGCAATGGGATCAGAATCATAGAGACATGTTTGCAAGTTCCATTTGTGCCACTCACAACCATGGCGGATTTTCTTCCCTGCATTAACTCACTCCCTGAGTTCGTGGACTGGAGTTTGGGATCTGCACATAGACTGCCCACAGCTGTTTTGCTACGGGCTCCACATGATTCCTGATCCAGTTTCCCACAGGGGGTGCTGTTTTTTTTCTTCTTCGGGTTAGGATGGGCTTTTTTTGGTCTACAATGCCCACGTTCTTTCAGTTTGAGGAGCCCTGGGACGGTCTTTTTGTTTGCCCGATCGGAAGTGAGACAAGGCGTCCAAAAGTGAGGGGTCCCGCAGGTTACGAGGTAGGATTACTTGGATTAAGCTACGTAAGGGCTACAGCCATCGTTCTGGTCGGTTTCCTGTGGCTTCCCGCCCACTTTCTGAGTTGGACTTTAAATTTTTGGGGAAGACCATTTTAGCGGTAAGACAACAATTTAGACTTGTTTGTTTGGGCAATCCACTCAGGAACTGTTTTTACTCTGATTTCTAAACAAACACATGACATATCTTTTTTAGAAATCGATTCGATCGGAAGCGAGTGAACCAACCCCCCCTCCCCCCCCCAAACGGCAAAACACGTATCACCCGCAGAAAGCCGCGGGGTTACTTGAAGGGGCGTTGTACGTCAGGTAAGTTGTCAGTACGCCTGATTAGAACCCGCCAATTCCATGGTTATAAGTCTAAGCGGGTTATATCCAGGCTTACTGACCATTACTGACCACTTACCTGACGTACAATTTAAGCAACTCCACACTTGTTCAACCCGCGCGAGGCGTGTGTTTGCCCGTTTTGCCTTTAAGTAGGACCCCCCCCGGACGGCTAAAGCACTTGGGTTTAAATGGGAACCAATGGGAGCTTCACCCCTTTCGCGTCTCCAACACCCACATGCACATATTGTGTCCATGGGTCAAAAGCCCGTACCCCCAGTGAACATCAACCAATCCCCACTAAAATAGGTGCGCCTAGCCCAAAATGGGATCCCAAAACGGTTTGGACCCGCCATATGTTTCCCGGTTCTTTCGCCGAAGCCGTAGGCTCCGCGGGCATCGGATGCTCGCCTTCGTGCGGGGCCCGGAGCGCGCCGCGTGGCTCGCCGGCGCGGGGCTCGCGGGGCTGCCGAGCGCGGAGCTGGCGGTGGTGGACACCAACTCGGACTGGGTGAGGCTCTCCGAAGCCTCGAGACGAGGTGGTCCAGCAACTGGTGCCCGCTCTCTCATCCAACTTTTTTGGTTAGGAGGGGAAAATAACATTTGGCAGGTGTTCCCTTGGTTGGGAGGTGTTCCAGCAATTGGCACCTAGGTCCCCCAGTCGTGCCCTGTCTCTCATCCAACTTTTTTGGCTGGGAGATTCGCGAAAACCCTACTGAAAAATTGACAGCAAACGAATCGGGTACCCTTGTTGGAACCTCTCAAATCTGGAGGACCTAGGAGATGTTTTTGCTCATGACGAGCCCCACGCCGTCGGATTCATTGCCCCCCCCACCCCCCCGTTCAATGCTGGTTTGTCTGGTGGGAAAAGCGGATTCCTTGGCCAATGGAGATGCTTGTTGACTTGTGACTCATCTCTCGGATGAACTAACCACCCATAGCAAAAAAAAGAGGCCAGGATTGCCTTCCAACAGGGTGCCAAGCATTTCGGGTGTTTCCCCAGGGTGGTTTGGGGCAGAAAGAAGGCGGGTTGGCTCATGGAACCGAAACCCAAAACAGGCTCGCTGCGCCCATGTGCGGCAAGGGGGAGCTCATGTCTCCGGAGTCCCAGGAGCCTCGGGCTGCACCTACCGCAAGCCCGAACATATTATATGTGCATATATATATACACATATACATGAACTACGGACAAAATTAGACCGATCAATTGTCTTTAAGTGTCTTTTTCTGGGTGGTTCATGGTGCATTCATTTGGGGTGTGTCTTTGTTTGAGGCTTGGTACTCTTTCTTCCTAGTTTGAAAGCAAGACCAGGAACCGAAGCCATCGCGGGGGTCCAACTTTGAAGACACGCATAATTTCCTCAGCGACGGACAACATTGGGTGAAGGTTTGGTCAAGACCGCCGTTTTGGTCTTTGTGGAAGAAGTGGGTGGCCCCCCGGCCCCTCCATGCCCAGCATAACGTGCTGCGCAGAGGAAAGGGGTCGGACACCAAGGGAAACAAGGGCACATAGTTTCACGGTAACATACTAGACGAACAACATGTTTGGGGGAACATATGGTAACATACTGAATTGGGTACAACATTTCATGTACGAATTGGGTGCAACATTTGATGTACATCCCCAAAACGAGATGTCAGCAAATTCATGACATGTTCACGTGTGCAGCGTCTTTGCATGGGAAAAAGGTTTTGAGCCACTTCGTCTTAGCACACAATGATAAAGGAGCTCAGGGCGTGTTTGGAAGGAAGGCAGTTCCTTTTGGGAAGTGGTGAAACAGCGCGTCCAGGAAGCAGCAGACCTGGTTGCAGAGGTGCCCCTTGACTACGGTCGAGTGCTACAACATCGGAAAAAACGAGGTTCCACATGAAATCAGCACGGCCGTGTGAGCAGCCCGCCGCGCCTCCGAAGTGAGTCTGAGACAAGACGCGTCCATGATGTTGAGCGCAGTAAGCCAACACACAGGCACAAAAACACGAAGCCTCAGCTTCGACTTAGATTCGATTGCACATCCACGCAGCGTCAAACGACATCAGGGCTTTAACCGGGCGCCGGGCGCCGGGCTGGAGAGCAAGGTAGAAACACCCGACAGGCAAACATATGTTGCAACCCACTGCCATAACTCATGTGAGCGACTCAGAATATTGTTGGTCATCTACTAAAGCCTGAGGGAGGACATAGACAGACAACTCCAATTTACAGAGAAACCAGAGAGCCCAGCCAATTGTGAGACTCAACGGTTCAGAGAACTTGTCCGGGTCTTGTTTTCTTCACCAAGTCTACTTGATGAACACTGGCAGTTGTGCGTGTCTTTTCTTGGAGTTGGTACTTCAATTTTAGTGGTTCTAATGGAAAACCATCAGGACTATACACATTGTTTTGGTGGTTTTACCGGAAAACCGAGCCATTTTGGGGGGTTCCAAGCTTAACTAGGTCCCCCAGTAGTTGCCTTTTACCCTTTTTTTGGGGGAGGGTTCTACTACTAAAATAGACCACAGAAAAAAAGGGTAGCCTTATTCTAACTTCTCAAATCTGAAGGACCTAGTTAAAACAGTCACGCCCGTCTGTGATTTTTGTTCGCTCACGCCCGAGGATGTCTGCGGCGGCGCGGATGGCATCATCGACGCCGTGGGGGGGGAGGTGCTGGCGCTGGCAGCGGAGCATTTGCTCCGAGTGCGCGCCACCGTGGTGATTTGGCCGCATAACTTCCATTTGCTTAAGTTGTTTTTTTGTTTTCGGCTTTAAAGGGAATCTATCACTATACTGGAAATATTTATTTTTCCAGGGGTCTTAACCAAATGCAAGAGAACAACACGTCAAAACCGGCGATCGCCGTGTTTGGCTCTGCGGGTTTCAAGGGAAACCGAAAGGAACAGTCGCTGTTTCGATATGTTGTTTTCCCTTCTTTCTTTCTTTCTTTCTTTCTTTCTTTCTTTCTTTCTTTCTTTTTTTTTGGGGGGGGGTCCCGTATGTTTTGGCGTAATAGGCAAGTGCTAGTTTCATTTTGAATCCAGTAGTAGTCGTGGTATGGGTTAGTATGCTGTTTGGAGTGTTTCATATGTCCATATGTGGATGCACATGTCGAGCGTTGACTCATCAATCCTTTGTAGCGTTTTTCGACGCCTTCAGGATTTGGTGTTGCGTTCACACATGTGGGCAAGTGGGCAAGTTGCTCCAAGCTGAAACGAGATCATCCATGATGCATGTTCCTTACTTATAATGGTTTCTTATTTGGGGTTTGTCAAGTTTAGTCTTCTGCTCGTTAGAATTATCAATAACCATATAAACATCATCTCCATCCCACCTTCTGTGGTCAACACGACTCAATTCTCAATGAATTGGTCCTGGAGATGCCACGCAGATGGCTGTGTGGGTGTTCTTGTTGAGAGCCCCTTTCTGGCTGGTTTTGAGGGAAGCCAAAAGGAGAATCATCATTTTGGTTTAACAAGGCACGTCCATGTATGGCCTTAAGGGAGCCCACAAGAAAACCAAGGGTTTCTTAGCTCAGGTGAGCTTTGGCAATGCTGCATGCGAGTCCAACGAGCGGCTGGCAGCGGCGCAGAGGAGGCTGAGGCTGCAGGCGTGACCGGCGTCAACCATAGATTCAACTTGCCCAGTATTCGACGACTTAAAGGCGCGATCGATGCGGTACGTCAAATAAGTGGCTAGTAAGCCAGGTTATGACCCACTTAGGAGTTGTATAGCCCGGGCCCAGGGCAAACAAGTGTTCTTTTTTGTAGTGAAGAAGAATAATAATAGTATCAAAACAATGTTTATAAACAAAAAGTAGTTAGTTATTAAGTGTTCTTAAACAAACAGGTTGTTTTGTAGTGGGTTATAACCAGTTCAAGCACGCCACTTACCTGACGTACCGAATCGATCGCGCCGTTGAGTAGTTGCCCAAAGCCAATCTGTTGGCTTTCCAGCTTTGGTCCATGTTTTGTCGAGGTTCCCTCTAGGAGTTGGTTGACCCAGCCGGCTGGCTTTAGAAGGGGCCATGTGTCCAACAAGCTATTCTTTTGGGTGGGCTGTGGTTAAAGCCCACATTTTGTTTATTTGTTTTTAGCATTTTTGGCGTGGGTTCCAAAACGCAGGCAAAAGCCACTCTGCCATCGTTCTCAAGTACCTGTCAAACCTCAGGCTTGCCTTTTGAGATCCCTGGAATGAAGGGAAGTCAGAATGCGTGGGTTCCCCGTGTTTTTTTGTTGCTTTGAACCAACTTCAATTCCATCTGGGTCTGGCTCAAGATCAAAGAGCTAGGGCTAGACGGGTTTTGGTCTTTGGTTCCATTGCTGAGTTGGGTACATTTATTGAGCCGCAGCCAAGAGCAACATGCCCAAGTCGACACGTCAACTTTGGATCAATTTCGTTGGGCGGGGGGAATGCAGTTTTGGGGCAGGCATCCAACCAGTGTGGTCCTTCAGACTCACTGAAAGTTGCGTATAGCCCACTCAGATGAAGGATTTTCCAAAATCGTCCCAAAATAAGTTTCAACACGACCACTCTAAGCGACATGCGATGAGGGGTTGATCAAAAGGTCCGGTAAACATGGCATGAATTCTCGGGAACCCGAAAACAGATGACATATTTTGCCACCAAATGGCAAGAGGTTGCCCATGTTCATTTGGGGGCCAGGAATTTTGATCAACCCCTGACACAATGTCCCTGGTAGAACCCAAAGTCAATGGGTGTTGGGTCAGCCTATGTGACAGAACTCCCTTCAAATCTACACGGATGGCGTTCAAAGATTTGTCCCTGCGACTTCGTGTCACTCTTCAATGTGTATTCAAGGAGCCCAAATCGGGCCACATAGATGTATAGGGCCTTACTGTTTAGTCTACCTATCATAGGCGTCCTTTTTAGGTTAGTTTGGTTAGAATAGGTGGCACTGGTTTAGACGGTTTTTTTTCCATTTTCCAGGGAATCTTTCTTTTCTTCAAAAGGCCACCTATGCTACCTATTGACTCAGGGAGTCGAAGCCTTTGGCGCTCGGTTGCCCAATGGCAGGTGAGGCGTGAGAGCGTGGAGTCCTTTATGGCCACTCCAGACGCTGCCGAGCAGGCGACCGAGAAGTCGAAAGCGGTGCTCGGCGTATCCACATCCAAAATTGGTTAGTATTTGTCGTGCCCTTCAATTCTCAATTCGTTTCTAGCTTCCAATTTGCTGAAATATGAATATGTTGTTTACTCTCCCTTGTTGGTTTTAACTGGAATCTATTTCACTACTGGACATATGTTTGTTGTTAGCAGGCGGGGCGAAACAGCAAATGGAAGAAAGGTGTTGCCACTTTTCAGTTGACATGTCCCCAGCCTTTTTTTGATTTACACGCCCCGGGAGGTGCAGAAGGCATTTGAGCTGATCGGCGTGTACCAGGTGGGGCAAGATATGTCCCCTACTCCAGATACCCACTTTTTCTATTTGGTATTTTTTGAACAACCTGGGTTTCCATGGTAAATACCTCCTGTTTTAGTAGAGGGCTGACATCATACCCTGAACAAAGTGGCTATTGGGTGTAGGAGGTATGTTTAAACAGCCAGCCGCACCCCTGTAAGAGGGGAACCGAACGGAGTTTGTTTAGAAGGGATGGTCAAGGACATCAAAGAGAGACTAAGCATGGGCGTGTTTAGTGATTGCTTTGTGTTATCAAGGAAGTTTGTCAGGGCTCCTTAAAAGATACATTTTGCTTTTCCACCAAAATAAAGGGAAACCACCATTTACAAGGCAATGTGCAGGTGTATAATGTGAGGATCCCTGTTTGTTAAAACATGGTGAAACAATGGCGAGGAGGGACTTAGCAGTTCCCAGCCGTCCATTTCCTCAGGTCTTGACGCTTTTGGTTGGTTAAGTGGTTGGGTTTCCGAAGTCACCTATTACAAGGCTAAATGTTAATCACTTTTATGCCCAGTTAGGGTTGGCTTGGGTCTACGCACTTGAATCTGCTGAACGTTGGCGCCCTTTTTGGTGTTCAAAGGGTCACAGGAGATTCTGCGGGAAAACAGCTGATTTGCCCTACCACCAGCTAACATGGAAGTGCACAGACCCCTGTAGAAAAAAAGACTTTCCTCTTGGTTAGTTGGCCTTTTTGCACTTCCATGTTGGTTGGTGGGAGGGTGGGAGGGTACATGATTTTGGGGGCCATGTCCTGCTGAATGTCCTGGCAAACCGTCCGATCTGACTCCCGAAGCCGAGGCCAAGGCCTGGCATGTGGCCAGCTGGCGAGAGGCCCAGGAGTGGAAGTCCTAAGCGCGATGGTTGACATGGCTCGGATCAAGCTCTGCAGTCTGGTGGTCTGAGCTTTTCCTTTTTTCAGCAGGGCTCCTTGAAAGATACATGTTGCCCAATTGAAACATGGCTTTTTCCACCAAAGTAAAGGGAAACCACCATTTACAAGGCAATGTTCAGGTGTATAATGTAAGGATCCGTGTTCAGGGAAACCAACTAGCAGGGATACAGGGGGAACCAGTTGGATACGGTTTTGCACCACGTTTTGATGCACTTTGACTATGTTTGATATGGGAAATGGCACCAAGGGAATCCCCCCATATCCCCGCTCTGCGGTTTGGTGGTCTGAGCTTTTCCATTTTTCAGGGAAACCAGTTGCATACGGGAGGATTCCCCCGTTTGATGCACCTTGACTGGGAAATGGCACCAAGGGAATCCCCCCATATCCCCGCTCTGCGGTTTGGTGGTCTGAGCTTTTCCATTTTTCAGGGAAACCAGTTGCATACGGGAGGATTCCCCCGTTTGATGCACCTTGACTGGGAAATGGCACCAAGGGAATCCCCCCATATCCCCGCTCTGCGGTTTGGTGGTCTGAGCTTTTCCATTTTTCAGGGAAACCAGTTGCATACGGGAGGATTCCCCCGTTTGATGCACCTTGACTAAGTTTGATATGGGAAATGGCGCCAAGAGAAATCCCCCCCATATCTCCACTCTGCGGTTTGTGGTCTTAGCTATTCAAATTTTGGGCTGAAATGAGTAGTGAAAAAGAACTGTTAGGTTTTTGCTGACAATGAGTTGGTTTTTGTTTTTCTCTTTTGTGTCCCCCTGCTAGTTGTTTCAAGCCAATCGATTTCACTACTGGAAATGCTCTCTCGCATTTTTTCCAGTGGCCGAAACAGCTTAAATGGAAGTGAGGCTCCTTGTTTTTTGACAGACCACCTTCAGAAGAATCTCAGAGACGGTCGACAGGAGTGCATGAAGGAGCAGCCAACCTGGACGCGGCACCAGACCCAGGCAGCTGTTTTGTTTTTTGTTTTTTCTTTTTTCGCCGCAAACGACATCTTTGGTCAGGGCCTGATATTTCCTTTGTTGGGTGTTTTGTCTTCTGGAGTTGGCGCCCCTTTTTTGGGAGGTTGTGGGGGTTTCCAGCATTTTGACCAAATTCACTGCGCGCCATTTGATAGGTGGTGTATTACAGTATTGTAAGGTTTCATCCATGCCCAACTAGATTCATTGCATTCTACACTCATAGCTTCCAAAGCACGTTGAATGGCCAAAGCTCTTTTTTTGTTGGGGGGTCGGGAGGCTCTTTTTGCAATAGCCAAAGGTCAGCCCCATGTTGCAGGTGTTTGGCCCCCAAATGGGAGCAGAACCACAAGAGGAAGCGTTTCCTTTGTGTGCACCGGCACGCTAAACGCGTTCAATGGCTCCCACGTTTGCCTTTGAACCTGCTGATTTATCGACAGACCAACCGAGAAGCACCCAGAGTGCCAGAGTGTGCCGAGGCATCCAGGTTCCTTCCAACTCATGGTGCCTTGAAAGCGGGGCTGACACTCATAAGCTCAGAAGCTGCTCCCGACCCTTGTAACAGCGATCTCAGTTTCCCAAACATGTCCTTGCTACAGGTTGTCTACGGGCATATTATGTGTCAAAAACATAGTTTCCATAGTTGCTTTGCTTTTCCCTTGGGACTTCAGGGATTGCCAAGCACGTAGTTTTCGCTCTTCATGACCCTTGTGGGCGTATCTCATGCTTAGTCCTACGTGTGAGCATATCTCATTTGCCACATATGGTAGCAACACGGTTGCTGGCTTAAAACTTCAATATGATGGGCAAGCGCGTTGCTAAACCACTCATCACTAGAGCAGCGAGGCCAATCAGGCACGCCCCTAAGATGGCCACCCTTCAAAAGCGCACCACAAATGCGTTGTCAAGCAAAGAATGTGTTCTGTCCCACGTACGAGGAGGCGCTGGCTATAGCTCTCTTTCAATTGGTTTTGGGCATGACAAGCTCACCGGGGGGAGTACTTGCTCCAATGAAGCTCCCTTACTTGAAGATTTCCCGTTTCCAGTGTGTGAACCATGATAATTTGCTCAGATATGTCCCTCGCCCCTGATAAAGCAGGCTAAGGTTGGGTTTCAAATCTCTTGTGGAAAGATGCCGCCATCGGTGGTTGAAAGGACGTCATGATTCAATTCGACGGGTTTGGGTGTTTTCTTCGGAGGCGGAACAAAGTGGGCTGGTTTCTGTTGATAATTGAAACACCAGGGGCGCAATATCGAGTTTGGCCCTCGTTGGTGTGGTTGTTCCGATTCGCCCTGTACACAGCGGACATGTGCGCTCCAATATGATATATACACACATAGCGGGCTCTTTTCAAACAGCAATGGGCCCGTTCAGGTGGTTGATTTCCTTTTGGAATTCCCCCAACACATCGAAAAACAACAAGGGATCCTTTATTCAGAAGCACCCTATTACGTGTCAGACCAAAAAAGGAGTGGAAACTTGGATTCGTGTCTGTTGGTCTCCCCTGAGGGATCCAATTGCAGGGGTTTTGGAGCAACGCCGTATATGTACATACATGCATATTGATTCACTTCCTTAATTTATGGTTTTACGTAGTTATTTTCATATACATGTTGGGATTTGCAGATCCAACACGCGTTTGCCGATTGGATGAACAACGAGCGTGTCTCATAGTGGCCGGCACGTCCTGCGAGAAGTTTTTGGGGCAGGGAGAAGCACACCCGGCAATTTGTTTTAAAATAGTTATAAAGGAATATTTTCTTTTATTTATTTTTGTCTATTATGTTATTATTATTATTACTATTATTATTCTTAATATTATAATGGATAGCGCTCTGAAGTGAATGGCAAAACTGTTTGTTGTAGTGCCCACTTGGCTGAGAGGCGGTTGACAGGTCCTCTGATTCAAATGTATGCTGTTTGTCCAGGCGTGCACTTCGTTACAACCTCCAGCCCCGAGTCCAGAGTCGTCGGACTCTAACCGCCAGGTGAAGCCTGGCAGAATCGGCCGGATCCTCTTGAAGTTCGATTGACACCGCGCCAAGACTCAAAAGCGCGCTGCGCTTTTGCTAACGCACCACTCCGGCATCCAGTGGCTCCAGTTTTTTTTTGACTGGTAAGTCGGAGGCTGAATGGGGACATCCCTCAAGCATATCGAAATCATGGCTACAAGATCTTGGTGAAGGGTCCAAAGGAGACCATTAGGCAGTGTTTTTTCCGCCTCCATGCTTGCCTCCCGGTTGCTGGGGGAAAATGTGGGAATGGAGACACCGGAAGCACGGGGTACGTCCAGTGCCAAAGCATCACTGAGAAAAGCAGCTGACATTTGGCTGTGGGTCAGAAATGGGTACCCAAAATGGAGCGCTGGTAAATGGAACCAAGCACTGCAACCTGTGGTCCAATTCCTGGTGGTTCAATTTTGACCCATATCCATTTCCCAAATGGGATGCGTGCTGAAAAAAGGTTGGGCGCTCGGTTTTGGAGAGCAGCAGCCGGGCAGCGGGCGTGGGTCAATGTCCTTTTCCGCTTCAAAATAATCAAAAGGGGATATGGGTGTGGGTCGAAAAATAGGCGCCCACAATGGCACCCTGGTAAATGGAAACAAGGACTAACAGCTGCGGTCCAATTCCTGGTTTAATTTTGACCCATACCCATATACCGGTCCCTTAAACACGGCCTGCAAAGCTTGAGAGCCCTTGTCGGCCTTGGAAAACTGTGAGCACCGATACTTGTCAGTTCAACCGGGTGCTTTTGCAGTTGAATATGGAGAAACGGGTCAGTGTCTCGTGGAATCGATGTCTATCGCGGTTGCTCTTGAGTTAGTTTTTCTCTTTGAACTTGTTCGAAGGTGCTTTCGTTATATATCTATATATCTCAATTACCCTCTTCCAACAATGATGGAAGTGGATTATGGAAGTGGACACGGGGTTGCCCCAAACGGCTAGTTTTCCCAAACCCTCCTATCGTGATTCTAGGGGTACCTTCCCCATTCTTTCCAGGGATATTTCTTTCTAGAAAACCTCCAAAAACCCAAGTTGAACACGGATCCGGTTTTTGGAAAGAACGATGATTGAAAAGAATAGCCAAGGAATCAACCCCTAGAACGTTGTTCCTTTACCAGGGCCCAGTTCAAAAATCCAAATCCAAGTCCAAACCACGAAGCTATCGGTAACCTGGTCGGATGAACATGGTTGCAAGGGGTAAGCCGAGAGCTGCAGCCCGCAGCGCAGCCGCGCAGGTTCACCTTCGAGGAGGAGTCCGCTCAGCCGCGTCCTTGGCCAAAAAAGAAGCTCCATGAGCTTCACAGGGCGGCGGATCAAAAAGGGGGTTTGTATGTCCCCGCTTTTTCGGGTTGAAAAGCAAAAAGGTCGCAACAGGTCTTATCTGAACTCCTTTTTTGGGGGTTGAAAAGATGAAAAGCAATTGTGTTCTCTGAGCTTCTTTTGTTTGGTTCAGAAGTGGAAAAGCAAAGGTCTTCTGTGAACTCCTTTTTTTTTCTGGGGGGGTCCCCCATATCTTGTTGAGAGCAAAAGGCAAAATGTAACTGGAGCCTCATGTCCCCGCCGCATTCATCGCCGCGTGCAACCGTTCAACAGGGGCTTGTTACGCACTTCCCATGATGTAAAGCTGGATGCTGATTCAACGCCTTTCATTGAGAGACCTTTGACTGGATATGCTCTAGATTGCATGTATCCTTGTTGGTCCGGTATTTGTTGGGTTTGAGAGAGGACAGTGTTTGGGTACTGTAGATCATGGCCCTCACCAACCGATCCAGTTGCTCCCTCACGTTGGCATTGGGTAAGCACGGTTCTAGTTTCTGCACCGTGTATGTAGGGTCTTCGCGGCACGTGGGCTCGGCACTGAGATGGAACATGGGTTCCAAGCCTTGAAGCAGAATATGACGTTCACACCATGGATACTCGATTCAGCCACGCTCCCCCAAACAAACCGACCGACCGACCATCCAACCAACCCCTTGTTTTGCCTCAGGCGTAGGGCAAGCGCCAGTTGAGCAACAGCAAACTGTCGACGCGTGTCGTTCCACTACAGGCCCGAAGCAGGGAACGGATGTGAGGAATTGAGCCATGGAGACTGATCCATTAGGTTGGGTTGCCGAACCAGTTTCAGCCAAACAGAGCAGGGTTGCCCAAATAGCGACCCTCATTGGCTCCCAATAGACAAAATTGGCTGCACCCTATTTTGACCACCCCTCTTTAAAAAAGTTGAGTTGTTCTGGACGCCGCAAAGCACAGGGACTATCCATCTGGAGTTCGACAAGAGTCAAGTTGGCCGTTGCGTTCCTTGAAACAACCCGGAAACGGGGTACCCTCTCTTTTCAGTGCCCCCAAAGGTGGTCCAGTCACTGTCCGGTACCAACTCAAGGCCCCCCCAGGGCGAAGTGAAGCGCCGTTGGGCCGGTAAGGAGTCACAACCGGAGCCTGGCGGACATGATGCGCCTGAGCTCGGAGCTCTTCGATGAGTCCCGGCCTCGGAATCGGACGGGTTGGTGTGATTGGGTCGGGTCGGGTTGGGTTGAGTAGGGTAGGCAGGTAGGTAGGTTTGTCAGTTGGTCGGTTGGTCGATTGGTCGATTGGTTGGCTACCCGCAAACAAAACTCCCATTTTGGCATCCAGCGTTTCAGTTTCATGGCCGTGGAAAAGTGGTTCCCTTTCTGGCATAGGTGTCCTTTTGATCGGTTGGTTTTGTAAGAAAATTGATGGCACTGCTTTAGATGGGGTTTTTATGCACCATTTACCAGGGGGAATCCATCTAGTTTTGCCAAAAGGACACCTAATCGGCCATTTCCATTTTGCTATCCCACCATGGGGTGCACTTCTTTTGGACTGCATTTGCTGCGAGACAAGCCTTGTTTAGTCGCGACAGGCCATGGTGGAAGGATACTAGCAACATTGCTATGCCAGGGGCGGGTGACTCAACCCCCTGTTTATCTAGGCGTAAGCCACTGCTTGAACAACCTCCTCATGGTTTTCCTTGGGCCATCCGTCGTGTCTGAACGGAGTTTCGGTTAGCTTCCAAGTCCCTGCTGTCAACAGCTGTGGAGCCGAGGTGTCCCCGAACCAAATGGGCTGGTGGATTTTGGACGGCTCCCCAAAAAGCACTTGGTTCATAGATATCGGCACTTGTGCCCTCAGCACATGCATCAGCTCGTATATAACATATACATAATTGATATGTCCAAGTAAAAACCACCAGCGCTTTTTACCTCTGAAGCGGCTGTCCATTAAGCCATTACCGATGCTGAGGGGACAAAACCATAGCCATGAAACATCGGTTTGAAGAGTCTTGGGTTCTTCTGAGCTGCACTCGGATTTGTTTTTTGAAAAGCCTCTACGAGGAGAAAGCCGTGAGTTGTAGAGTGAGGTTCTGGAGTGCGAAACTTAAAGGCCCGGAACCGATACTCCAATCGATGCTCAGTCGATACTGTGGATGGACCAAGTCCTGGGCCACTTTGAATCCATGGGAAACCATAACGTTTGTTGGTATATACAGGTGCATCATCAAAAACCAGGGTTTCTTCTGTGGCGCGAACTGGATTTCGCAACCATCCACAGCAACAATACCCACTTCTTTGAACCAGCTTGCCCCACCCCGCGCGAGGCGCAGTGGCCCAAATCCAGCGCGCCCATTTAGCCGAGGGCTCAGTTGCGCAAAGATCGGCAGGGGATGGTTGGTTTGTCTCAAAGTTACTCCCTTGCAAGTCAATATGGAACCAAAGCAGGATTCTCCCAGGAGATACCACTGAGGACGGTGGTTGTTTGGAACTATGGCTAGACCTTTTTTTGTTTTTTCTCCGGAAATGTTGTTGGTTCCTGTTTGGTTTCCGCCAACCCCAAACGGGGTACCCTCACAAAGGCAAAGTCTTCATGCGTGTTTGGTCAAAAACGCTGGCGCCCCTTGTTGGATGATCAGGCAGAAACCAAGACACATGGCGACGCGCGGCATCAAAGACAAATGCACTTCGCAAGTCTTCCTTCCGCACCCCCGCCCTTCAAAGCTCTACACATAACTGACATCTATACCTCATGCCATAGCAATCCCAGAAATCTATACCTCATGCCATAGCAATCCCACAAATCTTCCGGCCCCTCTTGGCTGCTTCCGGCCCCTCTTGGCTCTGCGGGACTTTCATGAGCCAAGGGCCTTTCATTTGGCTCACCGAGCATTGCGCCCTGAAGCCGATCCCATCCACCAGGTCTGTGGCTGTTGTACACGTTTTGTTCACTAGGTCCCCCCAGCCAGGTGCCAGTGCCCGACCTCTCACCCCTTTTTTGGTTGGGAGGGGGTGTTCCTGTACTAAAATAGACAAAACTGAAAAAGAGTTGGTACCAACTTATTCTAACCTCTCAAATCTGGAGGACCTAGACTGGCTGAACTGAATTCCCCCCCCCCCGCCCCCGCCTCTTTGAGCTCCCAAACTGTTCGTCTTAAGTGGCCTTGGCTTTGTGGGAACCATTCGCTGAAAGGAATATTGTTGCAGTTTCACATGTTGGGGTTGAAAGGAATCGATTTCACTACTTGAAATATGTTTTGTTTTTTTGTTCCCCCACCCCCCGTGCAAAAGAGCAAATGGAGGAATGGTTCGCAAGGGCTAGGGGTCTCTGATGCTTTTCCGCCTTGCTCCAAAGAAGTCAGGCGCGAACTGCGAACCGCGAAAGGCGCTATGACCGCGGAAGTGCAAAATGGCGATGGAGTTAGATGCAACACCCCGCAATGGACATAAACCCCTATGGCAGGGGTCCCGATATTGCACTTCTTGGTGATGTGTTTAACACCTCTTTGGCGAATTTAAGGTGAGTTTTTTCTTGGGGAGATGTATTAAGAGGAATTTGTTTGGGAGCCCGGCAGGGTCCCAACCTGAAAGCTCACTCCACATTTTGCAAGCTGCTGGGTTTTCCCTGAACTTTTTGCTGACTGAAGCTCTGAAAAGGTCAACATATTTCATAATTGCCCAGGTCTTTGGGTGGGTCTGTGGGTCTGTGGGTCTGTGTGTCTACGTGTGCGTGGTGCTTTTCAGGGTGGCCGTTTGGGCTTGCTTCCAATGAACCAAATGCGAAACTTGCTTTTGAGGCCCTTTGACACACACCTCCAGGAGTTAGGTTTTTCTTCGGTGGTTTGGCTTGGATTTGGACTTGGAGCCCTGGTTCTTGAGGGTAAATGGGAAACTACCCCCACCCCGCACCCCCTACCCCCCAAAAATCTTGCCAACCCCCACATCCCCACAAGCCCCTGAACCCCAAAAACAAGTCGCCATGGTCCAAGCCAGAGGGAGTTTTCTGAGGCCACCACCCCCCAAAAAAAACATCTTCCACCCCCCCCCCCCCCCACAACCCCTTGAACCCTCAGGCCAGATGAGCATCATCATCTCAGACGGCAGGTTCAACAAGAGCAAGGTACGGCCCTGGGCCGACACCTCAGGACCTCCAGCCTCGGACCAAAAATCTGTCGAAAAGGCGACGCAAACAGACCACTGGCCACCTGTTGTTTGGGGCGGGCCCTTGGGCTGTGACCCTTGTTCTTGTTGATCCGTTTTGGGGTCTGGGCCCCTGAAAGGTGACCCGTGTTCTTGTTGATCCGTTTTGGGGTCTGTGAAGTTGGTTCTTGTTTTTGTTCTTTTTTTTTCCCCCTTTTTGGGGTCTGTGAAGCTGGTTCTTGTTCTTTAAAAAAAAAAGAATCCCCCCTTTTGGGCCTTTGGGTCTGTGAAGTTGGTCAAATGGCTGGTGCCAAGCAGTTGCCTAGTTTGGGTTCAATTTCACCTTCCGGCGCTCGAGAACCGGGTCCCTCCGGGATCCAGTTGGGTGTGTCGAACCCGAAGCTCCTCCCATTTTGTGCCTGGGCGCTGGTGGCCACTTCGGGTTTCCCCGGGGAGACTTGGCCGCTTCGTTCGTTGCTGGTCAGGGCCTGAGGAAAACTTTGGGTCATTTTTGGGCCTGAGGAAAACGTTGAGTGAAGTTCAAGGCCCCCTAGAAAGACCTATAATCCATGTGGGAGGGGGGTAAGGGGCCGATCTGTTTATTGTCCCCGGCCCCAGAACCGCACCTCGCTTCAAGACAGGTTGGCACCCTGCCAGTGTCGATTCCAGGATCACGATTTGGTCGCGTCTGGCTTTGCTCAATGCCAACTTCGTCTGAAGAAAGTGATTAGGGATCCAAGGAGGGTTTGTGGACGGGAGCCCCGCACTTGCTTCAGTCCGGTTCTCCAAAAAGAATTCCAGGGGAAGCCTTGGGGGTAGAATGCATACTGCGAGGCGTTTTTCACGTGTTCACCCATGATGATTAATCCATTCGCAAGGGGTTGTTGATTCAGGTGTGACGGTATTTGTCATTTTGCCTAGGTCCCCCAGTAGTGCCCTTTTCCCTTGTCTGGGGGAGGGTTCCCTACTAAAATAAACTACAGAAAAAAGAATTGGTACCCTTATGCTAACCTCTCTACTGGAGGACCTAGTTGCAGATGAGTTCCACCAATGACTTGTTTCTTTGATGTCCGTACCAGTGCCCAAACCACATTTGCCGAGGGGTTGAGGATGGAAGGAACAACACCAGAATTGAGTGTTCCTGGCACGGACGACCGGCATCTGAGTTGGTGCCGCCCTTTCAAGGTGCAAAAAAGGGACCCTAGTTCAGGTAAGCCCTTGGTGATTTGGATTGGATTCGAAGCCCTGGTTCTTGCAGAGGGTAAATGGAAAACCACCCCCTACCCTCCTCCCACTAGCATCCCTCCTGACACACCGATTCGGCTGCCAACGTACCAAACAACAAGGGAAGCTTAATCACCTTACGCCTATTTGCTGGTTTGGTTTTGTGGTTTGGACGTTGTGTTGCTTGTTTAGCTTTTTCACTTGGTTTCAAACGCGACTGCTTCAAATCCCCAAACCACCGACCCGGCTCCAAACGAAACAAAGATCGAGGGAAGCGAAGGTTTCCTGCGGATTTTCTGAGGTTCACGCGGCCCTGGCCCGGCAGCAGCTTCCGCTCCTCATCATCGTGGACGACTTCGCCCTTCGGCCCGAAACCGATTCGATCCACCCCCCTCCCCTTCCCCCCCCTTTTCCTGGTTTCCTGTAAATTAGGCTGAAAAAACTGGGAGTTAGAGTCAAGGGGAGGGGGTTGATAGGTTTCCGTGGCATCTTGGGCATGTGCTCAGAAAGGCCCTATTGTTTGTGAGTTCTTTGGAAGCTTTCACGACCCACAAGGAGTTGTTGATGGCAACTGGACTGTGTGAAAGTTGCAGACTCCTGGTTGGTTGATTGTTTTCAAAAGGGTCCTTCTATTTTAGAAAAAACTATTGCCTGACAAAAAAGGATGGAGTAATTATGTTGATCCCATGGGTCATGAGACATGTGGTTTATGAACCTGGATGAGTTGGAAGGGACCGCTAAGTAATCAGCACCCTCCGCCCCCAGCATCCCCCCGTGACCTTGTAGAACCTTGGCCGTGTTAACCACTCCGCGATCACTCGGCTGGCGTTGTCTCCTTAAATGGACATATCCCAAAGTGGGTGGTTTCCGTTGGGTTTCAACTAATCGGAAAACACGCGCTCAAAACCACACATAACCATCTAAGCTGCACTCAACCACCCACGCAACCACTCAACCACGCAACCACTCAACCAGCCAGCCAACCAGCCACTCAACCAAGCATTGCTTCGTCGGCTGAGGAAGCAGACAAGGCTGCCGCGCGGAGCTCAGAGGGGTTCCAAGATAGAATTTTAGTATATTTTAGTCCATTTTGGTGTTGACCCCAGAAACAAAAAAAAAAAAAAAAAAAAAACGAGAAAACAAAACTGGTGGATTTTGATTGGGGGCGTGTCCAATTCCTTTTGGTGGTTGGATTAAGACCACTTTTGGAGGGGTGTTCTCCCCTAATAATGGGACAGGTTTATTAATCCTGGGGTCAACATTAGGTGTTACGCGCTTGGAAGGTTTCAAGCTTGACAGGGAGGTTGTTGTGAAGCGGAGCTCAATCGGTTTAGACCCCCAAATTGTGGGGTTCCCTCTGCTTCAGCCATAGATCATACCCATGTTCAATCCGCGAGGGATGAAGTTGTGGACTGGATTGACATAGTCATCGGGCGGCTTTGGTGGTCTATCGTTGATTGGGAGAGGAGCAGAGTCAAATTCATTGGAGGGGGGGGCACCCAATGATTGAAGTTCTTCCGAGCAAGCCCCATGTTCTTGTGGTGCAGTGGGTTTGCCTGTTTTTGATCAGGTGGGGCTCCAATTCAATCTCTTGGTTTTTACATATTTTGTGGCACAACCGGGGGCATTCAATGGTTTCAGCATGGTAACAAGCATGTTGATGTCAGCGAATCCTTCACAGAGGCAGCCGTTAAGCCTGTGCAACAGGCTGTTTGAACTTGCATCAAACGAAGCCTGGTAATTTGCATGTCCAAGCAAGGGGTGTTTCCTTCTCTAGCAGACTTCGACAGCTGCATGCTAAATACTATAGCTCATCATTTGGAATTCCCCACAAGGAAATCAATATAGTACATTTTTCCATTGTTTTCAGATCGTACGTAGTCTCTTGCAACTGCGCACCAGCCGAATCTGATCGGACTGCCTTTGGTGCTCAGGGCAAGCGCAGCGTCTTCGATTTGCGGGCCGTGAGCTACGAAACTGGTCGTTGCCAGGCCAGCAATTTGCTTGAAGCATGCCACAGAGGCCAACGATCAAGCCTATTTATGAGCGACCTACCAGTGACTGCAATCAACACTTGAATATGTACCAATACGGTTGGTAGACTGTTGCAGGAAATAGTTATGTCATACAAACTTAGTTGAGTTGATTGTTCCCTTGAGAACAGAATGGACAAACAAGACATACTGACCTGCTTAGACCCCCCTATGAGGCACTATCATCCCCCTGTCGCGATTGCATATCTTGTTTTTTGGGGGTGCCGTTTGAGCTGACCATAGACGACTTAGACTGTTCGGGAGGAATCGTGGCTTTGGTATGTCCACTTCAACTTTGGGGGTTGAAGCAGAGGAAGACGATGTTTTTTTTTTGCTCGGCGGTGATCGCAAGCCCTTGTGAGCCTGAATTCAGTCTGTGTGTTTCTTTTGAGGGTACCTTTCTTGGGATCGAAGGAAGCCACAAGGAAGCCAAAGGGAAGCCACCCATATTTGGGGGTCCCCCCATAAAAAAAGACAAAGCCAACTAAGTCCGCATGCGCTGATATAGACGGCCTCGAGCTGCCGCAATTCGCGCTTGAAATTGCTTGGCCCTGGAGGTTGATATTCACCATCAAACCGCACTGCCCACCGCTCACCTTTGGACTTTTTGGTTTGTCAGGCCCATTTAGGTGTAACGCGCTTGTTGGAAGGTTTCAGTCTTGACAGGGGGTGGTTGTAAAGGGGAGTTCAACCGGCTCATCCACCCAAATTGTGGGGTTCCCCCGACTTCAGCCATGGCTCATACCCATGTTCAACCCGTGAGGGAAGATGCTTTTGAACGGTGCTCGAGGTTTTGGACTTGATTGAACCCACCAAAAGTTTTAAGCTTTTAGCAATGATTAGGATTGGACATGCGTTTGTCAGCGCCTACATTCATGGCCATTTGAATGGTCCACAGCGAGGACTAGAGCTCCCGAACCTCTTTGGTAGACAGACGTCAACATTTGCTTGTTCCGCTGTCAGCAACACAAAAGGGAACCGTTTCAGGGGCAGGGGGTTCAACATGTTTCAACATATCCACAGCCGACTGCTCGCTACTGGGACCCTTGCGGAGTCTTGATTTCGGGGTTTCCGCTAGTTGTGAGTGCTGCTAAGATGGCTTGCCTTGTCCACTGTAGCAACACAAACACAGGGACGTTCCGCACTTGTTTGTTCTACTGTTGGCTAAAGTGATGCAGAGTGTTGATTTCAGATGATTCAGGGCTCTTCCGGCCATTTGGCAAATATCCTCCTGAAAACAAGTTAATTTCTACCTTGGGGAGACTTCCATTTCTGCGCTTCGCGAAGCACTGGGAAAGGTAAGTCGTGCTTCACACGACCTTCGCAGAATCTGCATTGCTGCGTGTGCTTTCCCTTGCCCCTTTTCCTGAGAAATTCAAGAGCACATATATCGCTATGGGTCCAACAAGCTGAGGGTTCAAAGACAGGGACATCTAGGACCCAGGAATCACATGGTGCCTTCAATTTGTATCGCACATTGCACATAGTGCCGATGGTACGGAAACATCATGGTTCTGTTTGAAGGAATCCTTAGACAACACGTCTGCTTGCCACAAAAAGCTGCTTGCCGGCCATTTCTGCATTTGGGTTTGCGCCAATCCCACTGGTTTCCACGTTGGGTGGTGGCCAGGTGGTGCCATATCTACAAGACTTTCCGTTCCCCTACTACGTGGTGGTGCAGGACCAGCAACCATGTGAGCCATATTCAAAACCCGGGTAGATGAAGGTTTGTAAGGGACGATCCCAACCATAAATAGCTGCGGATATCCGCTTTCTTAGTTCTTGAAGCATGGTTTTGGGTCGAATATTTGTATGGGTTTTGATTTTGACTTACGTGATCAGCTCAGAAGATCATTAAGAGTCCGTTTGCGGCCTGGGGAATGCGGAATCTGTGGTCAGAGGAAGACTTGCCTGAAGCGAAACTCGCAGCACGCTGCCTCACGTGAAACAGCGCAGACTTCGGTTTTTGCTAACCCTGTGACACAGAGAGTATGATTGCAAGGGTGCCGGTGTTCTGCCTGCACAGAAACCGTTGCGCGAAGCTTCGCGCTGTATGAGTTCACAAGCTTGGCCAGGATTTACAATCACTTCCAGCGATTCTCAGCGATGTCATGAAGCAATGGACGCCATCTCAGGTGATGCATGGGAGCCTTCCACAGAGCCACAGGTTTTCAGGTAATGTTGGGCGAGACGGAGGAGAAAGCCAAGGGAGTAGCTAGATAGAGGCGAGTGCCATGGCAAGCGTGACTAAGGGGATATGTGTAGCAACTTGCTGGACGTGCCTGTTCAGCTGTGCGGAAGATGCTTTTCTTGCCGCGCAGCTTTCATGCAGCCTGAGGTTTGAACTTGCAACCAGTGCCTGAGCTTTCAGGTGAGGAGTGGGCGAAAAAGTTTGTTCGAAGGGATGTGTTTTTTGGGCACCGAACTGGGGAGGCAAAGCAATCCCCGTTTGGCCATGGGGCAACCTATTTTGATGTTCACCAGGATTCCAGGGTCTTGACCCACAGCCATTTCAGGGACTCAGTTGTCGACTTTTCGACCTTTAGGTTTTCCTATTTTGGGTCATGGCGCCAAAAGGTTAACATTACTTCTGGGTCCCTAAAGGGGCAGCTGAGTTGAAGATTCAGAAGCTGCAAGCGGGTTGCTTCTCCTCCCAGGCGTTTCAAAGGGGCGACCCCGGTGCCACACGCTTCGTTTCGATCGGGGATCAAACTCTGGAACCACAATAGTCCTCACGCCCGTTGGAAAGAGGGTAGTCTATAGGGGTTTTACAAGGGTTTAATCTTGACCCCGGATGAATCAACCCGTCCTGAAAAAAGGGCGGTGTCCAAAAGTGATGAATCCCACTGAACGGGGACACTGAGACGCCTATTTCTCAACAAACAACGCTTTTATCAACCTGGGGTCAACATTACACTGGGTGTACTGCGAGCTTCTGGTTGAGCTTGGGAGTTGGTTGACCCCCGTAATGTCTCCTGCCATGGGTGCAAGCCAGCCCAAGTTGAATTCTGCTTGGGATACCCCCAGGATCCAGGGCTGTCTATCGTTCAAAAGGTGTTTTTCCACGCTATCCGCGGGAGCTTGCCGGATTTCCACATCCATCAACATGATTTGGTCATCCTTCCCAGTTTTTAGCTTCAGGGTGCAACCGCGGCGAAAACGGGTCCCGGCAGCATTTTGGATTATTGGTCTAGACCAGTGACGCTAACTGGGCACATGAGATTGTGTGGAGCATACAAATCGTACAAGCCAAAAGATGCAGATCACCGCGCACACACACACACACACTCATCACATGCGTGTGCACTCAAGAGTGCGCCCGACCGGCGCGGGTAGCACATGCGGCATCGAGTTTTTTCTTGCGATGATTGATGGCGACGGGCGAACTACGCTCGACCCTCAGCCAGTGCTAGAATGAAGGGTCCACTTGGTCGTGATCTTTTGGTTCCTTTGAGGTCATTCAAAAGCTCGCCTTCCAAGTCGTTGCAAGTGAGATCAGCAAAAGCTGCCTCTTTTGGAAGGGGCCCCGCACCAACCTTCAGCTTCTCCACATGGGTAAAGTCCCATGATTGATCATCTAGACCTGCGGAGCTTGTGATTCCATTGCAGCCATGAGACCTGGCGCGCGAAACATTCTGTGCGAAATTGGCCCATTACTTTACTTGGGGCCGGTAGCTTGTTACCCTCAACTGTCTGGGAACATTCTGTGTTTGTGTGTGTTCGCCTTGCAAACCAAAGACGACTTAAACTGTTGTTCTTCGGCGCACCCGAGCCTCCTGTTTGACCAAGCCACCGTGCCACAGTTGGGAGCTGGCGCTTGCTGGCCTTTGCCATCCAATCTTCCGCCCTCGATCGAGTCTCTGGACCAAAGTGCACTGAGGGCCGAGGGGGACCCCACTGAAGCACACCTATGTACCACTCATTTTGGGCCAGGTCTGCGCCAGTACTCACTTCCCGAGTTCCTGGACTTTAATTCTTGTTGGGAAGGTGGTAAATACAAGTTTAGGCTTTTTTGGCCCATCCACTCAGGAAGTGAGAGTAAAAGAAGCCCCAAATTTGCATGAGACCAGTCCTTGACGCACTGCACGGGCTGAGGCAGGGCGAGGCGGGTCTGGAGAGTTGCTTGGTACGGAGGCTTGTCAGCTCTCGTAGAGATAGAATTGAGATAGATTGTCTTCTGGGATTCATCTGGCTGACCAAGAGCGGCTTGGGGTACCAACTTGCATTGCTACCCTCTTTGCAACAATTCACGGGTCCATGTCCACTCGCAGGAAAGACGGCAGCCTTTGTGCTTTCCTTCAGAACCATTTCGCCTTTTGCCAAGAAAATCGCAGTGACGGCAGATAAGAGTAGCTGCACTAGGTCCCCCAGTAGTGCCCTTTTACCCTTTTTGGGGGGAGGGTTCCCCTACCAAAATAGACTACAGAAAAAGTTGGTAATTACCCTTATTCTAACCTGTCTACTGGAGGACCTAGTGTAACTTCCTCAAGCTCCGACAGCGTCTCAAGTCGAAGGGCGGCCGAATCACCATACGATACAGATGGCATACAGGTTGGCAGCCGCACTAATCAGAGTATACATAAATTAGGCGAACAAACAAGGCTACATGAGTATTCGTAGCAAGTCACAGCTGCCTTACCGTGGGGGGTTCACTCTCGTCCACCATGAAAATTCCTTTCCAGAGATCCCTGTTGAAAGACAAGTTTCCCAACATACTGCTCCAGTGCTTTGAATTGGAGCTGTGTCATTTTTCCTCGTTACTTTTTACTCAGCCGTGCAGATTCCGCAAGCTTCCGGTGAGTGACGTGAAATTTCAGTGAGTCGATGGCCATTTAAGTTTGAGTTTTCCTTGACGGGGATGACGCTTACTATGGTTTTGTGTTTCTTCAGCTTGAGGGGAGACTCTTCACCTTTTGAGTCGCAAGCAAGCCACTGGGCTTTGCGCTGACCTACGCATCCAAACCTAGGTGGGAATGCGGTTCTTTGGTTTGTTGTTTTGTTTTTTGTTTTTTCCAAGCAGAGCTCCTGGCCGTTCACGTTCCAGTCGGCGAAGCTGAAATTTCGCAAGGCCGCTGGAGCGCCGGCGACTTCGAGCGGGCGGCCTAAAGCCCTTGCAAGGAGTGCTCAGTTTGCGGGTAGGGGAAGACTACTTCAAGGGCCAGGGTCCTTAGTAAGTGGTTAAGGTTTAAGGGGAAGAGTTCAGTTTAGGGGGGTTTAAGGGGCATTCACTTGCCCAAGCGAATCGACACCTTAACCTTTAAGGTTTCTTGTTTAAAGTCCATTTTTGGTCATTTTCCTAAGGGGAAGACTAAGGCCTCGGGATGTTTCACGATCATGTTTCGGAAGAGTATGGGTGTCGCTCTCGCTCTGTCTCGCTCTTGTTAGGGAACCAGGCCTTTTTCAGAGAAACCAAAAGGACACCCACCGTTTTTGTGACTACCCTCAAAAAAAGACACCCAAAAGTGACGTGAGACGGCATCACTCGTCCTCGAGTGCGAAGTGGAAGAAGACGACTCGGGTGCAACCAGCCACCGGAAAGCAACCTAGGCTAGCGCCATGAACGGGAGCATGGGGTCGGGTTTTTGGGCAATGTGCTCCTTGTTTAGGGAGGGATGCTATTGTTTTCACAACTGAAGCTTCATCGACGTGGTTGGACACGTGGTTTGGTGCCTTGCAGTTTTTGTGCATCGAATCCAAGATCCTGTTTCATGGGGTCTGGGGGGGAGGGAGGGGAGGGGCAGGGAGCCCAAACAAGCCCTTATTAAGCCCCAAAGAAGGCCTTAAGCCCCTAACAAGATCTTATTTTGGGGCTTATTGAGGCTCCCTCCTCCCCCCCCCCTCCCCCCCGCCCCCTCCCTCCCCCCCAGCCCCCATGACTGTTGATTCTTGCCTCCTTGGCGACTGACGCTCGCCGAGGCCCAAACTCCGCCTGGGCCCAAGCTGGGTTCCAGTGAAAAAGGTCGCATGTGCGACGGAAGGTCTCGATGTAAACCGATGAGGAAGCCCAATGCCGATGTTCCAGCTAGATGTGTTGCAGGTGAAGACGGTGTATCCTTGGTTGCTATTGGGTTGGATTTAGATTACGGGTTTTCCATTAGTTGCTCATCAAACCCACAAAAAGTTAAGTTTTTACGGAGGGGTCAGCAGCCTGCGGAGCCACTTGCGAGGGCTCGCTGCATCATGGCAGAAGTGCCAGCTGCCACGTCTGTGGATACATGCGTGGGGCACGCCCTGGCGACAATCTTAAAAGAGCCACTCCAACGAAGCCACCGACTCACAACATCTTGCCTTAGAAGGAAGTAGCGGAAGATCGTCAAGCGTCTGCGATTGTTTAGGGGATCCCAAAATGGCTTGGTTTTCCTGTTGCTTTCCCTTTAAAGCCACAAATAAGGGGTACCCTCAAAGAAAGAGACACCCAAGTCAGACTAGAATTGTCCGCTTCGGCTTTGTTTGTCCAGGCAAACCGACCACCAGTCTACGTTGTGGGACTCGCCGGCATACTAGCTACCATTGGGCTCGGATTTCAAAATGTTGCACTTGCCCGGAATGACGCCCTGACCGTTGCCCCATGGGGCCTTGCAACCCCTTTTAACCACTTGAAAGTATGCAGCAGAAAAGCGCGCAAACATAATCCAAGTGCGCAAAACTATGTAGACCGATGAGGAAAACCCGGCCATGGGCAAAGGGGGCAAAAGGCGGTGCAACGCAGCCTGAAGCGACCTTGTTTGGCGGGAGGCCACTCAGTCCCGCGTTCCCACTAAGGAGGTTTGTCACCTCTGTTGGGACAGCGGTCCTCCTATGCTTTCAAGGGGGCGGAGTCCTGGGCAAGTCGCGAAAGGTGACCTGGAAATGAGAAGCGGCGCAGGTTTACGGGAGTTTCCTTTGCACGGCTTGAACTGGTGCCACCTGCCAAGATGCGAAGAAATCAAGGAATCAATGCGGTATTGGTGAAAGCGCGACACAATCAGGCCATTACACCGAGAGTCTGTGAACCTGTCCATGCTTGTGCATCAATCCAAGTCACGCTTCCCGTTGTACTCGTGCACGTTTGCACCCTCGCAAGAGAAACTTAGCAGCACGCCAGATGTCCAAGCCTGTCGGCAATACAGCCAGCTGCAGGGTTCCGTTTTTTGACTACTCCAAGGTAGACTTAAACTCCGGGGTTTCCCTTTTGGGGAAATCAACCACCCCTGGGGTAGTCGACATTGGGGTCGAAAAACGGAACCCTGGCCAGCTGTACACGCTGGTTTGACTTGTTATGTCGCCCTCCTCAGGCTTCTTCACTGGGGTGCATCACCTAATCTCGGTGAAGTTGCAACTGGGCATCACTCGTTTTGTTTGGAATACATTCCGGGGTCACAAGGAGATGTCGACATTTTATACCAGCGTGCCCGAAGGGATCGTGAAAAATGCCAGAAACAGGCCCTATGCTCGAGGTTTGCTTACCCGGAGAAGTTCACCAAGAGGATGTTTCCGGGAAGTAGCCAAGTGGTTTCAAAGTGGTTTGCATTTTGACCAAGCCTAAAGTCCTCCACCCATTTGGGTTTGCGTGTTTGGGAGGGTACCCGATTCAGGTTGGTTTGATGGGAAACCACCAGAAACATGGATGGACAAAGTTCTGCACCAGTTGGCATGGATGAAACCTACGCTGGGATAAACCACCTGCAAAGTGCCTGGCATGGTTTTCGTCCGTCAGTGTCAGTTTGTTAGCAGTGCAAAAGCAAAATTGGTTGGGGCGGGGGGGGGGGGCTGCAGATGGGCGTGTCGTTTTTTTGGAGTACCCACAAACTGGGTTGGTTTTCCTCTTGGTTTCCCTTGCAAACCACCGAAAAAGGTGGGCTCCCCTAAAATTAACAGAACACACCCAACCCAACTTGCTGGTGCGATAGGCCGCGAATGAGAACTGGAATGACCTTCATGAACCATCCAACTGGTGGTGTCCTTATTCGGAAATCCCTGGTTCATTCCATTTCTCGTTCCCTACCTATCGCACCGGCAAGATTAGTTGCAACCTTCGCTACCATGTCCTTACAGGACTCCCTTTAAATCCACCCAAAAAAGGGGGCCCTAAATTCCTCAAAAAATGACATACCCCACATAAGTGTAGGGGAATTACTCAATTAAACCAAAATGACAAACCTGAAGATAGGGATTACGGGCTTCCCTTCAAAACCACCGGGGGGGGGGCCTAAATTAAACCAAAAACGACACACCCCACATTGACATCCATGCCGTGGGTCAACACCAATGGTACCATTTCGGGGTAGGTGAGTTCACCACTCATTTTCGAACCTATTTTAGCGGTTGGATTGGGATGTTCACTGCAACCTAACCGATTTGGGTTTTGACCATGGCCATTTCAGACATTCCTTTCCTCGGGGAGTATCGACCCCGGTCGACCCACGGTTTCACTTTTGGCGCCAGCCATGAGCCACATACCGCACATAAGCCAACAAATCCCAATTTTTGTCCACTGTGATCTCCGCCTAGTTTTTTTTTTTCTCCAAAAATGGGTAAACATAAACAAATCCCCCATTTTTAGACGCCGCACATCCCGTGCCTCGCCGACCTCTGACCCGCCGACCCGCCCGAGGCGCGGCTCTCTGCGCGCAGCGTGTCGAGCCTGGGGTCCCCGTGCTCCGCCTCGCCGCCCGGAGCCCAGGTGCCGGAGCCGAGGTGCCAAGTTTTTGAGGGGAACGTTTGAGTTGGTTTGGTTTGGTTCAAACTTTTGGTTGGTTTAGTTGGTTTTTCGTTGGTTTAGGTTGGTTTGGTCGAACTTTTGGTTGGGTTTAGTTGGTTTAAAGTTGGATTTTTAGCGGGTTTTTAGTGGGTTTCGTTCGTTTGGGGGGAGCCAGGCCCTGGTTTGGCTCAACTTTTGGCAGGATCTGAGGTTCGTATTTCAGCCATCCGCTGCAACTTGGCATTTCAGAGAGCTGGATGGATGGTGTAGGTGGAGTTGGGTTCCAAGTTTCGCCCACGGAAAGTGAGTCACTTCTAGCAGGGGATCTGAAAAACGGGCCTGTGAGGATAAGATCTCCAACAACAAATCCCATGTAACTTGAAGTAATTATCTAGGTCCAGCTAGGTGCCCTTTTGCACTTTTTTTTTTGTTGGGAGGGTTCGCCTACTACAACCGACTACAGAAAAAAAGCGTACCCTTATTCTATCCTCTCAAATCTGGAGGGATAGAGTCAACCATGGTATCCCAGAAACAACGGCCATGTCCGCCGCCTTGCGCTTCCCGCCTGAGGTTGCAACCAGAGACCGGGGTGCCCCGTCTCACAGGCCAGTATGCGAGTCTCTTATGGCGGTGTCTTGTTTTGAGGGTATTCTTGGGTTTTGAAAGGAGCACCAAAAGGGAAAGCACATGTCTTGTTGTCGTGAGTTTGTTGGTTCTATTTTTTTGTGGGCGGGGGGGGGAGTGTTCTGTTTTTTTCCGTGGGACTATTTAGGGAAGCCAAAAGGAACTCAAAGAAGGCTCCCCCTATTTGACGACAAACCCATACAGTATGTGGGATTGTCTCAAAGTGGCGCACCCAAAGTCGCAGCTCGGGAATTTACTTTCACCCCAAAAGAGGTACCCTGAAACAGTGACTTGCTTATGCGTTCCGTGGGCTTGTTGTTTTCCGTTGTCCAAGATGTGTTCTGCGTACCCCCCTCCACGTAGCCATGCTTTTAGTGGGAAAAGACAATGGCGTAGCATCCGTGAAATTAGGTATGTCCTTCCAGCACAGGCACCAACCAACAACCACACGACTCATTGTCCCGGGTTGACTGTATTGCCCGCTTGTCTTGCTTTGTGTTTTCTGTTTCAACGAAGTAAACCCGAAACAACTCGCAGACAGTTTCGCGGGGTCAGGCCTAGCCAAGTGGTCCTCCTCGAGGCGAGAGCAAGGGCTGCGGCATGGATCAATCTTTCGGGTGTGTCTACGAAAAGGATCGCCACTTTTGGAGGTTCCAATAGGGAAATGTAGGAAACCCTGTGTTGAGACTTAAAAGGGGCATCGGAAGCAACGCTCGAGCCACCGCACACATTTCGGACAAGTCCGAAATGTGCGTCGCCCCTTGTAATTACGATGGAGGAGTCTATTCTGTATATCAATCATCCTCTCTCGGACCCGGCTAGAGGTTGCGTTGCTTTTTGCACCAACCGATGAACCTGCGAGTTGGTCTCAATTGTTCGTTGCAAGCAGAACCACTAGTCGAAGCTCAGCAGAACACCTCTGAAAATCCCGAAGCAGCTTCCAAGAACCTTTTCCAGAGCCTGGGGCTTTTGGTTTTCGCAGTGTGCTACTGTTAAACAAGGCGACCCCTCATAGGGTTCAAGAA